CTGCTTCTTGCAGCTGTCCCTACCATAGAAACTTAGCAGGGACTCTCAGCCACTCCTGCCCTCTGGAATACTACAGGCGTGCAATTTTTAAAAACAACTTTATTGAGGCATAAGATGCATGCAATATAATGCACCTCGTTTTAAGTGTACATTTCAACAAATTTTGACAATTTACACCCACAGCTGTCAGGATACAAAACATTTCCAGCATCCCAAAAAGTGCTCCCATGTCTTTTTCGAGGTCTTTGTCAATATCTCTCAACATTGCTTCGTAGTATTTATTGTACAGGTCTTGCACATATTTTGTTAGATTTGTCTTAAGTTTTCCCTAAATGTATTTTAATTAGATTATTATGAATGTACTTATTTAATACTACTAATGAATTTATTTATTAAACTTTTGTCTGCCAAGACAGCACATCAGCCTAATTCAATTCAGTCTTTATTATTTCTCACTTGGCATCTCTATCTGAGCATATAACATGGAAATACCTTCTCCCGAAGTCGGTGTTCACCAGCAACCACATGTGAGCTCACAGTGTCAGCCTCATTTGCACATAAACCAGCTAAGTGCTGGCACTGCTCTGCTTTAGGGTACAATAGACTCATTCAAACATATCAGAAAAGTTGTGAAACTTCTGCAAGGCACACTTTATGATGGTGCACTTTTTACTTATGAAAGAGAGTTAAGACCCGAGAATTAAACCCAAAAGTTAAGAATAATTTAAGGGAGTATTTTACAGTTCTGTACCTGGTATAAAGTGAAGAATTTGGGTGTTGCAGCTGTGCTGGTCAAGTCTGTGAATTCAATTCTTGTTCCTCTCGTGGGCCACATTTTTCAGAACTACAGTCCTTCAGCACAAGCTGTCAATATTGGTGGAGATTGTGTGTGGGAAACTGGAGGCATATGGGAAGTCTAGTTTCCACTCAATTTTGCTGTAAACTTAGAAGTGCTCTAGAGAATACAGTTCATTGATTTAAAAATATATAAGCATTCAGATGAAGACTTAACCACTTAGAGGAAAGAAATAAGAGCAGATTATAATCTGTTGCAGTATAGAAAAAGGTGAATAACAATATAACTGTTTTATAATTTACTCCTTTGAATTATCTCTGAAATATGACACTACTTGCTTAATGCGTACAACAAGGATCTTGAATGCAGTAGAATTGTCTAAAATTCTGCCAGTAAGAACGGTGTGTATATTACCATTATGGAACCTAAGGTGTCTCAGAATTAGTAATACATGCTATTGTAGGAGATTATTTTAAAGTAATGTGTGGACAATTTATATGATTAAATTCCAGAGATACCATTTGATTACAGGGTTTCTTAGCACGAAGCGTCAATATTTCATGCAAGAGAGTATATACTGTCATACAGTGTCTCTCTCATTTTTCATTCCAAAAATGCCCCTCAGGATTCACATATATACATGATGATGATGATAATGATGATGACATGGACTTAAAAAAATGTAACTAATAATGAAGATAGTATAGAGAAGAGAGAAAATTGTATCGTGTTCCCAGGACTGGAATATGATAGTGATAAGTACCTGTCATAATTAAGGTCTGTAAGTTAGTTTAGAAAATTGTATCGTGTTCCCAGGACTGGAATATGATAGTGATAAGTACCTGTCATAATTAAAGTCTGTAAGTTAGTTTAGAAAAAGTACTGTAATTTTTTTTCCTTTCAACATCTTTGACAAGTCTGAGATTGCACATGTAGGCAAAGTATTTATGAGGCTATATGATCTCCCTAAAATCCTCTGCCCATGGATTCCAGCATAAAGCATATTCTCTTCTAATGCAGAAACTTTTAATCTGGGATCCATGGACCCCCAAGAGATGCATAGATAAAATTCAGGGAATCCATGGATTTGAATAGAAAAATATATCTTCAGTTTCACAAATCTCTATCTAAAATAAAGCATTTCCTTCTATGACAAATATAGTGAGTGAGCTATAGAAACTTTAGTAATATCTGTGACAAAGTCAATAATGGAAATCACAGATATTTGCATATTTCTTGCATATACACAGTTGATATGAAAGTCAGATATTTTCATCTTATATTATGTGGAGTAAATGTCATTTACTTTTGTCATTCCTTTGAAGTAATGGCAGTTTTCGGGATCACTGGGATATATTTTATTTAATTAACTTTAAAGATGTACATATACTAATACATCATAAATTTTTTAAAAGTTTGATATCAGCATTTCAAAACAATTGGTTCCCTTTTGAATCCTATGTCTTCTAGTGTATGAATTTAAAATATGATTCTGAGAAGGGGCCCTTAGGATTTCCCAGACTGACAAAGGGGTCCACAGTACAGGTGAAGAGCTGCTGTATGCGGAATGAGATGCTCATCTGTGCAGGTGTGACGGGGAGCCTGAGCCTCGATCCAAGCATGGGAAGTGCAGCAAGTGTTCTTAGCGTCTCACCCACACTGCTGCACGTCTTGATGATTCTCACTCTAAACCATTACCTCATTTCCTTTCCCTCCCTTCCCCTCTCCCTCTTTCCCTCTCTCCCTGTCTCTCCCTTCCCTGTCCCTCCCTCCCACTCCTTCCCTGTCTTCCTTACTACCCCCTCCCCGCCTTCTCTCTTTCGTCCAGCAGGGGGCAGCAACAGCCTCTAAGCCACCAGATTGAACTAAAAGTTACATCAGGAAAGTATCTTTTATGACACATGACCTAAGATATAAAACAACAGCAACAACATTTGCTTACAGAAATAACAGGATTCATAAATAATACTCAATCTATGATCCCATTTTTATTTATCTAAGACGCTTGAGAAGAACCTATGTTATGAAATGAACTTACTTTTGTGCCTATTTCAACTCAATGCTGGGAAATGATATTTTAGTCAGCTGTTCCAACCCTGTATCAGTAAATGTCTAATTTTTTGATATAGTATCAACTTTCTAACTCCGTGTAGATTAGAACACCAGGTCCAGGAAATAATGATAGCAAATACAAACATGGTATTTATTATGTGTAAAGAGCTGTTTAAATGCTTTTTTAAAACAATGTTCACAGCAAGCTTTGTGGTATATACTCATTATCTCCATTTGACAGGTGAGAAATCAGATCCAAGGGAGGTTCAGTAGCTTTGCCAAAGTTTGACAACTGCTAAATGACAGAGCCAGAACTCCAGCACACACATCTCCCACATCCCTGCTCTAATCCACTGTCACTAGGGGAGAGAAGGGGACCCTTAGCTATTGCTAAAATTACAGGAGTGCCCCCACTCCATCTCTGCTGTATTAATTACTTATTATAAATATAGAGGATGCAGGTGCAGAGAACTGGATTTATTTTTTACAACTAAACACCTGAACCCCTTCTTGTGTTTGGGGCTTCCCCATCTTAACAATCCTGATGGGAAATGATGCAGTACACAGACTTCTAACAGACCCTGAGAACTGCAGATATTTGTTTCCTTGGCTCTCATCACAGCTAGTGCACAGGCGCACAGCATCCTGAGTGTGCCTCTCACCAGAAAATGAGAAATTCATTCTCACAATGAGGGCACTTGTCCATTATAAGGAATATAAAGGGCTTCTATTGTCAGAAGAGAGGCTGTAAGTGCTTGATCTCTCTTAGCCTTAGTCTCCTCACCTGCAAAATCATAACTGAAGGTTATGGTTTTTCTTGAGAAGAGAAGGGTCTGTTTCTTCTTGCTGTGAAGTATGCCCGCACCAGCCACAGAGCTTTGTACCTGTGTTCTGGTAGTGAACTACCAAGAGAAAATGCTTGGAATTACAGTTGGTGGTATTCTGTTTTTTTAGGGAGAAAAACGAAGGCTGGGAGTGGGAAGGGATCAAAGTATGGGACATCAAAGTAAGGGAGAAAGGAAAGAGAGTTTTGGTTTGTCTAATATTAAACGTTTCTACAAAAATGAGAAATCCCAAATAAATGGTAACCACAGCAGAAGAAAGCACAAACACTTCTTGGGTAACAGGTAGAAATAGGGGCAGGGTCATATGTTAGTTCATTCCCATGAATAGGACCCTTTGCATAATAGTTTCTTCCGGACATCTTTAGAAAGACATGAGGAATAGCTAAGAATCCAAGGAACCACCAAAGCTGGAAATGAAAAGCCTCCATGAATGAGGTTGTGAGAGTCGGCCATCCAGTGGCTGACGCCAGAGGAGGAACCTGAGGATGTGGACGATGAAAGGTGTGGGCAAGGCAAAGTGATTAAACACATCAGCATCTTCCCCAACCAGATGCATCTCATGAGATTGAAGTGTATACAGAACTTTGATATTCCAGACTTGAACAACTATATACCAGTAACAGATACACCAAATATACATGACCTAGGGATAAATTGAATGAAATGAGTGAAAATCCTCCATGGGAAAAAAAGAATTGTAAAGGATATGGATTGCCATTAATAAAAAGATCTCTTATCTTTATAGGTTGGATAGAGTCTGTGTTTTAAAAATGTCAGATTTCCCAAACTGCTTTGTACATTGAATGTAATTCAATCAAAATTCTAATTGGCTTTTGACAGAACTTGATCAGCTAAACTTAAACTTTACATGAAACTGCAGAGGGTGAAAAACAGCTAAGACACTCTTGAAGTAGAAAACCCAAGTGGAGGGATTCCATCTACCACTGTCAAGAGTTATTGTAAAACCACAATAGTAAAGCTCGTATGGCATGGAGATTAGTTACACAGTGAGTTATATTTATATATCCATATATATGTCCTTACCAAATCCATATCCCTACCTCTATTTATATATCTTAGAAAGGTTAACATATAGAATTTATTTATAATAAGTCACCTACACATTAATAAATTAGTTATATTTACTGAGTTTGGATCAAAGCTTTGCTTCTGACACCATGGAGTGTTGTTGCTGAGTAACACAAAACAGTAACATGACAATTGTGAGACAGTAAAGGGACCGCGTCACAAGAAGTTTGCTGATGGGCAGTGAGAAAACCTCATCCCTTTGCTACTTTGACACAACCATGGGCACAAGGCTCCTCCGCTATGTGGCTCTTTGTCTCCTGGGAGCAGGTGAGTCCTGCACAAGAGAAAAACCTTTGTCCTGGGCTTGCCGACTCCCAGACCCAAGCCTTTTCCCTTGTCAGGGTCTCTCCTGAGCTCTGCCTATAGCTTCTGTTTTCTTCTCTTTCAGGCTTTTTGGATGCCAAAGTTACCCAGACTCCAGGACATCTGGTGAAAAAGAAAGAACAGAAAGCAAAGATGGAGTATATCCCCCAAAAAGGACATACTTTCATTTTCTGGTATCAGCAGAGCCAGAATAAAGAGTTAAAGTATTTACTTTCCCTTCAGAATAATCAAGTTCTTGATCAAATAGAGACACACAAGAAGCGATTCTCAGCTGAATGCCTTCAAAACTCACCCCGCACCCTGGAAATCCTGTCCTCTGAACCCGAAGACTCAGCACTGTATTTTTGTGCCAGCAGTGAATCCACAGCACTGAAATGTTAGTTCCTCTTAGTTCACAAACTCATCATAGACCTAACTCAGGAAGCAGGTGATGTATTAGGTTGGAAAGAAGTAACAGAAATTGACTGGAGCTAGCTTAAGGCACAGTGAAATTTACTGCACTACAAGGCTAAATGGTATTTGGCAGAAGTCAAAAAATGATGAACAGACAATTCTGAAAAAGCACTCCTTAGGCCAGGGTCTGGAATGGCTGCACTTCAAGCTCTCATTTTTTTTTCTTCTATTCTGTCTGCCTCATGCTGCTTTTTTCTCCCTGTACACCATCCTTCTCTTTTTGTCCAGTCCTCATGGTGAGAACAAGATGACCGGTAAAGGTGACAAATTCAGTTGGCATCATTCCACCACAGTGATAAAGATTAGCTTAGCTCTTTCCAAGCTTGGGTTTAAAATCCCAGGAGAAAAATAGGCAGTCATGATCCAGCCAGGAAGTTTCTCATGGAGCACTCAACTCTAGCCATGTATGTATATATTTAAAATCACATACATGTTATTTCATTATGCATGCAATTCTGTCTTATATTTTTCCACTCAGCTCAAAGTGAGTGAAATGCTCCATTTCTCTATAGGTACATGCTGTTTGTTGCTTCTAAATGATACCTAATGTTCCAGGTCCACTTCTTCAGGAATAGACAACAATTTTCCTCCAATTCCTGCCAGCATTGAAAATTCTTGTACGTATTCCTTCATAGACCTGTAGGACTGCTTTATGGAATTGTGTACCCAGAATCATGACTGCTGAGACATGGAATACTATGTATAGTTTATTTTATATATCTAAATACCACCAGAGGGATCTTCAGAATCACTGTATAAGTCTACAATCCCACATAATAGTGAATGAGAAAATATGAATATAAAAAAAAATTCATATGAGTGTGGAAAGAAATAATATCAGTGAAAAAGTGTTTGAGAACACTTAAAAATGAGCAACGTCGCCCGGTTTGATCAAGGACCTAGTCAGAGGGTTACTCTCATAAACTACTTAGAATAGTGTCAGTTGGACAATATGGATCAAGAACTTTAAAAATACTTATTCTTGAGAATTTGACTTTAGGTTAAGTTGAGTAGTTGTTACCGTATTTGTCCTATTTTCATAAGCCACCATAAAATTTGACAAAAGTTTTAGGCAACTGTTTTCAGACATTAGACGACAGGCAGCACAGGGTCACCATCACTGGGAAGGCGGAGACATAGAAGGGGAATTTCACTCTTGCCTCACGGCTTTGTCTGGATGCAGTTTTCAGGCTGCAGCCCAAGGATATGGAGCCTGAGCGGGGCACAGTGGTCTTGCAGAGTAGGGAGGCCGAGGTGATCGACTTCAGGGCTGTGGACGTGACTGATGTTTGTACGGGGAAGGTACTGTAGAGAAGAAAGCTGTGTAGAATAAGACCTCCAAATACTGCACGGGGTCCACTTAAGTTCCTGGTCAAATACTAAGCAGCAGATGCACAGAGAAAGCCTCCCTAAGTAAGGCCTGGCAGGGAGCACTTGCTGGGTAGCTGTGAGAGGAATGGAGATTCTTGTGGTCACACAGTCTAAGGAGAGATTAATTTTGACCAGCTAGAGTGGTGGGACCGCCCTGAATTTCCTGGGAACATAGCTGGCACCACAGAGGGGTCACACTTCAGGAGAAGAGCTACCAAGATTCCAGAAGAAGAGACGCTCTAGAACCGCCCTCAGAAAGCTCAACAAGACTCAAAATGATCGACCAGATCTCCGAATAAACTGGCTGCCTTTTAGAGAAAAATATCTCAGCACTCTCTAAATTAAGGCAAAAATGAAATCTAGACTCTCAACAATGTAGCACCCACAATTTCAATCTTGAAATGAAAAAGTATTAAACATAGGAAGAAATGGGAAAATATGACCCATATACAGTAAAAAACAAACACAACAAAACAACAACAACAACAACAACAAAAAAAAAACAGGCAATAGAAACCAATCCTGAATAACACAGATGTTGGATATTTTAGATGAGGATTTTTAAGCAGTTATTGTAAAGATATGTTCATGGACTTAGAGGAAAATATGGTCATAATTTGGTCAATTGACAAAATTGATTAACTCATAGCAATTAAAACATAAAGGGAAAAGACACAAATTACCATACCACCATTGAAAGAATGAATATCTCTACAGGTACAACAGACATTAAAATTATGATCGAATATTATAAATAAGTATATGCCAATAAATTCTACAACCTAGATGTAATAAAATTATTTGAATGAAAGAATGAATATCTCCACAGGTACAACAGACATTAAAATTATCATAGAATATTATAAATAAGTATATGCCAATAAATTCTACAACCTAGATGTAATAAAATTATTTGAAGTTACCAAACAGATTCAAGACAAAATAAGAAACGTGAAGAATCTGACATGAAGAAAATTGAATTATTTATCAAAAACATTCTCTCAAAGGAAACTACAGACCCAGATTTCTTTCATGATAAATTCTATAAAACATTTAAGAAAAAAAGAATACCCACCTTACACAAACTTTTTCAGAAAACAGAAGAGCGGGAAATACTTCACAAAACGTTATATGAAGCCAGCAAAACCCTAATGCTAAAATCGGACAAAGTTATTACAGAACAACATCTTTTATGACCATGGTTGAAAAAGTATTCTTCACAACATATTACCAAATCAAGTGAATTTATTGCAGGAAAAACAATGGTTTCACATTCAGAAGTCAATGTACTTCACCATATCAGCAGAATATTGGAGAGTAATCCTTTGACTATTTTAATAGATATAGAGAAAACATTTGACAAAATTCAGTACTCATTCAAAATAAACACTCTCAGCAAACTGGTAACAGAAGAGAACTTTCTTAATCTGTTGAAAATTATCAATGAACAATCTCCCACTAACATCCTATTTAATATTGAATGTTGAGCACTTTCCTCCTATAAGGTACAAGGCATAATGTTTTCTCTCTACTTTTATTCAACATTATATTGGAGATCTTAACCAGTGCAATAAGGCAACAAAAATAAAATACGAATTTAAATACTGAAAAAGAAGAAGTAAAAGTATCCCTACTTTCAGATTACATAGTTTTTTATATAGAAAACCCCAAGACATCAACGGACCACAACTAGAAATAATTAGCGAATTTCGCAAGATCACAGGATACAATGTCAATATAAAAACAAAAAAATCGATTGTTTCCTTCTCACTACTTGCAAACAATTGGAAAAGAAACTTCTGAAAATGCCATGAACAATAATTTCAATAACAAATCACTTTGGAATTAATTCAGCAAAAGATGTCCAATGAAAAGCTACAAAACATCACAAAAATACATCGTGTTTATGGATAGGAAGTTTTAAAGCATTAAGATGTCAACTCCCTCAACAAATGATTTTGGAAAAATTGGGCAATCACATTGAAAATAAATAAACCTTTAGTATTACCTAACGCCATAGATGAAAATCAATTTGAGATGTATCATAGACCTAATTGCAGAAGCTGAAACTAAATTTTCTAGAAGAAAACATAGAAAAATATCTTTGTGAGCTGAGGAAAGGCAGAATTTTCTTAGGACACAGAAAGCACTAACCAGCAGTAAAAAATAATCGTTTCTCCTTTGGCACCCTTTGTGTCAGAGGATGTGTGGCACACAGGTCAGTAACTCAACGAGAGCGNCTGAGGAAAGGCAGAATTTTCTTAGGACACAGAAAGCACTAACCAGCAGTAAAAAATAATCGTTTCTCCTTTGGCACCCTTTGTGTCAGAGGATGTGTGGCACACAGGTCAGTAACTCAACGAGAGCGTTCACCAGTCCTTAGGGCCACGTCCATACACACAGCACGCAGCTGAACGTGGTATGTGGGTAAGACTGAGAAGTCTGTGCTCTGCCTGTAGTAAAGGAAAGGTCAGATGGAAAGTGGATTATAAATATGATTTGAGGGGCGTATGAGCCAGCCCACAGTAGAGGACATATTGCCCATGCCCTTAAAAACCCTCTCAGCTATCCAGAAATTGGGTATCTTTTTCAATTCCATCCCCATCCAATTAGGAGTCTCCTCCATTCATTCCTCTGATAATCTCTTGCTCCTCTTGGGCACAGACTCTGCTCCCTGAACAATTACTTCTTCTTTCCTTGCTGTGCATCTTCAAATCTCTGCCTGGAATGGGCGGGAAAACGGCCTTTCAACCACTGGACCTGAGCCCTCCGTTCTCTCGACTGATCTGACCCCCAAGAATAGTTTATATTCAGCTTCCAAATCTCAGTTCCACTCAAATTGCTGCTCACAGCAGGGGGCAGCAAAACAATGCTGACCTTAAGAATTACAAANCACTCAAATTGCTGCTCACAGCAGGGGGCAGCAAAACAATGCTGACCTTAAGAATTACAAATAAGGGCAATGATATTTTTCACATTAAAGACAATCTCATAGTGACAGTTTTCATTATCATCATCCTGTTTGCACTAACTGAGCCCCTAGATAAGCAATTGACTGGAATAAATCCACGTTTCTGTTGGTATTATTAATAGAGAACGTTAACCAAAAAAAAAAAAAAAAAAAGGGGGGAGAGGTCGCTGGACTATGTCATATGGAATGTGTGCAGTGACCGTACACTGTGCTTGGGAACCCCTAAATAAAGCAGCAACTATTCAAAATATGACAGGAGAGGGAGAAGTAGGTGGGAAGTATGTTGACAAGAGAGGCCATGAGTTGGTAATTATTGATAGTGGGCGACGTGGGGACACGGAGGCCCATTATTTTATTACATCTACTTTGCATATATTTGACATTCTCAGAATAAAAATTAAAAATATTACAAAAGAAGACTTTACCAATTTGATATGCAGCAAGATTGATTAGCGTAGGATGCACAGTGTATCCGTGGATGAGGGCGAGCCAGGACAAGCACACGGTTTTGCATGACCGCTGGAGCTGTGCTTGTAATACGCTGAAGTGAAATATTGAACACTTTGATCTTAAAATCGGGAACAAATTATGTTATGATAAAATGACCTCTTTAACGAATTCAAAATGTGAGTGAATATATTAAGTACTTCTTAGACATGCATACCCCACATTAAGTGAATACCTTCCTGTAATGAGCTAATATTTTCAGTAAAGATCTGCACCCAGAAAACAACTAGAAAAGCAGGAGCTATTGAAGAACAGGAGCAATTTGGAACTAAGTTAGTAATTTTTCCCTTCTCAAAACAAACGAATAAAAACCTCAGACTCTAGAGAATATATTCAAATGGCATAGTTTACGTAGACCTAAATTAGAATAAATGAATAAATGCAGAAAAAAGAGAGGAATGTTATACAGACGTAACATTCCAGTGCGAACAGATATTCCCTTTATTTGAAAGGGTTCTGAATTTTCCCCATAACCTATTTTATCAGGAGGAGGATGCTTTCTTGAACAACTGAGATAGATACACTAGGAAAGAGGGAGCAGAAAACTCTGGCAGGGGGCCCGGCGATAGTGCGCCGCTTGGGAAGCGCAGTGGCTCTCCCGCCGAGGGTTCGGATCCCCACACACGGTACGGGCGCGACACTGAGGGTTGTGATCCGTTGCCGGCCACGAAAAAAAGACAAAAAGGAAAATAAATAAACAAACAAATAAATAAATAAATAAAAAGAAAAAAGAAAACTCTGGCAGTTGTCAGTGAAGAACCAGG